CCAACTAAACCCAGTGTTTGAAGATGAAGGGACAATAAAGGAAGAAATGAACTCATTTTTCAATTCAGAGAGCATAGAGGTATGGAAATTGATCCTTCAAAGGAGAATTCCCCACCCAAGTTTGTTCCCAAAATTTTATGAGGTTGCCTGAGTTTAAATCATACCTGATTAGAGGGGAGAAAACTGGTAACAAGTCATGGATTGCTTTCCAAGGTGAGGCACATGTCGTCCTTACCAAGTTTCCAGGATCGCATTCATTGTCCTCCAGCCCGTGAATGCTAGCCACTATTCTAGCCCACAACTTCTCCTCAAAAGGGAACCTCCATAACCATTTCCCTAATAAAGCCATATTCCTCTTCCTAATGTTCCCGAGCCCTAACCTTCTCGACTTCTTATCCCTAATCACCATCTCCTACCCCACTCTATGGTTCCTCTTCTTTTCACCTGGTTCTCATAGGAAGTCTCTTATCAACTTTTCCAATCTATTAGACACCTTTGCTAGAATCTTGAACACTAGTAAGAAGTAGATGGGTAAATTGGCTAAGGTTGCCCTAATTAGTGTGATCCTCCCACCAAGAGACAGGTAATTCTTTTTCCAAGAGGCAAGCCTTTTCTCAAATCTTTCCACCACTGGATTCCAGAACCTTCCTTTCTTAGGGTTGTCTCCCAGGGGTAGATTTAGATAATTCAAGGGCCAACTTGAAACTGCACATCCCAATAGCTCTGCGGCCTGCGCACTTCCTGACCTCCCCTTCCTCTAAATTCACTCCCACTACACAACTCTGCTCAAAATTCACTTTAAGGTTGGACATTTGTTCAAAGAGTTGTATCACCCTCTTCAAATTTTTAATCCAATTCAAGTTCCCACCTTCATAGAAAAGAATTGTGTCATCTGCAAATTGTAAGTGGGTAAGTGGGATCTCTTCCCTTCCTAACCTCCACCCTCTTAGTAAATCCCTTGAATCTTTTTTATGAATTAATATACCTAGAACATCTACAATTAGGGTGAACAAGAAATGAAAGAGTGGATCTCCTTGTCTTATTCCCCTAATAGCTGGGAAGAAATCCACCACTATCCCATTTACCAGTACTGAGTAATGACAGTTCTTGACACATCCCATTATCCATTTACACCATCTTTCCCTGAACCCAAAGTTAACCATCACTTCCTTCAAAAAGGACCAATCAACCAAATCATAAGCCTTTTCTAGGTCCAATTTACACACCACTCCTTTCTTTATCACTTTTTTGAAGTTCTCCAAACTCTCATTGGCAATTAGAATTTGATCAACTATCTGTCTTCCCTTTACAAAGGCTCTTTGGTTTGGTGCAATAATATCGTGCGGGACTTGCTTTATCCTTAGAGACAACACCTTTGCAATTATCTTGTATAGACTATTTACCAAGCTGATTGGCCTAAAGTCCTTTGGATGAGAGGCATCCTTCTTCTTTGGGATCAAAGCAATAAAAGTGGAATTCAACCCCAAATTAATTATTCCCCTTTTATGAAACTCATCAAACACTAGCACTTGATCCCTTTCCAAAATTTCCCAACAGTCTTGATAAAAGGCCATTGTGAAACCATCTGGGCCTGGAGCTTTCATTCTGTCCATAGGAAACACAACCTCCTTTATTTCCTCCACCTTAAATCTCCTTTCCAACCTTTGCCTGTTTTCTGCCCCTAGATCTGACCAATCCAACCCTTCTAACCACACCCTCCCAATCAAAGGCCTTCTAAAGATAGACTTAGAGTGATTTATAAAAGCTCCTACTATCTCATCTTAGTGGGTTAGGATTGACCCCTCCACTTCCAGCCCTTCAACTGCCTCCTCAAACCCCCCCTGTTCCTTGTCTCTCTCTTCAAATACTCCCCATTCCTCTTTCAGATCCAATTCCTCAATTTGATCCATTAGTATCTGCTTCCTTTCTTCTAATCTCCCAAACTCTAACCAGTTCTACTCTCTAATCTTTGCTTTCAAGAATTGGAGTTTCCTGTGAAACTTCATGCCTTCCCATTCCACTGAGGGATTACATTGGTCCCCCCATTCTTTGAGTTTCTTGGTAAACCCTGGGTGGAGTAGCTACATATTTTCAAATCTGAATGGGGAAGGTCCATCGCCCTCCTTTTCTCCTTGGAAATCATTATAGGCCAATGATCTGAAGTGAGCCTAGTCAATGCCCTAGATGTTAACATCCCCTAGTGTTCTTCCTAGTTTGTTGAGAATAAGAACTTGTCCAACTTAGAGCAAATCGGGTTCGATTGAAGATTGGACCAAGTGTATGTCTTGTGGGCTACTGGATTTCTTTAAGCTGAAAAGCATCCACAAAGGGATTAAACACCCTCATACTTGTTGTCACTCTCTGATTAGGGTTATTAGTTTCCTTTGTGAACCTAACCACATTAAAATCTCCACCCAGACGCCAAGGCCCTTCCCAAAGTCCCCTGACATCTCCCAGTTCCTCCCACAACTCCTTCCTTTCCCTACCATTTGGCCCATATACATTCGTTAATACCTACTCAAACCCACTCTCTACCTACTTGAACTTCAAAGACAGTGAGTATTTGCCAATTAGTTCCTCCATACCCATAAGCACATCACTCTTCCTCGTTGTTACAACCTCCCTGAAGATCTCCAGGATGGAGTAGCCACCCAATTGATCCCCCTAGCCCTCTATACACTTCTTGCCCATCTACTATCAAAATCCATTCTTTTAGATTCCTGGATTAGCATGCCATCTGGGTTATACCTCTTAATCACCTCTTCAATCATTACTCTTTTCCTGGCACTTCCCAAACTCCTCACATTCCTGCTCAGAGTCCTCATATTCACCTTTTTCTTACCCCCTCCCACCAACCAGCTTCTCCTTCACCCCTTTCCTCCTATCTCCCTTTACTTCAAACTGCTTGTCGCCTTCCACATCTCTTTTCAGCCTTTCTACATCACTCAACTTCCTCTTCTTAGTTTTACTATCCTCCTTATGTATGAAAATTTTTAAATCATTCAGATTCTTCAACTTACATCCTGATGTTCCCACAAGTTCTGCTACGGAGTCCTCTCTACTAGAGACCTCCTCCACTGTCCTCTCCATCTTCGCCTTCCCACTCACCCCTTCAGCCCTCAATCCCCTTTAATTAGAATCTCTCCCTGTTGTCCCATTTATATCCCCCCTTTGAAGCTCATTCTCTTCAATTTCCCTTTATCCCTTGCCTACACCTTCCTATTCCTATTTATCTCATCCATCAACTCCCCTTTATCCCTTGCCTCCTTCTGCTTAGAAGAGCACTCTGCTATGGTGGCTTCTCTTACTTGGGCTGCTGGATCTAGGACGGGAATGGAATCCGGAATACAAGACAGAGAGCACTCATCAGTAGAAAAAACTGAATTCACTGGGTTACCAGGGTTTAATTGGGAGGTGGAAGATGGATATAGGCTGTTGTTTTTGACTACCCTTCCCTGTTTCATTGGTTTCTGTCTGTTCCTTGGGTTGGTGAGAGAACGATCCCGTCACTTGGTCAAGGAGAGAAAAGAATCCAAGAAAATTATGTGGGCTTAGTCAGCTTGTGGCCCGAGTATGGGTTGGTACACTTCAGAGATTCTTTATATGATTGTTGTGTTTAGCTTATGAAACAACACTTTGATAGGAGAAAGATTATGCGTTTCCTAATGCATTTAAGACTTGAATATGAGGTGATTAGATCAAATATTCTTAGCAAGAGTACCATTCCCAACTAGATGCTATTTTTGGTGAACTCCTGAGGGGAGAAACAAGACTGATTACTCAGAATCAGTCAGGGTAGGTTTGGTGTTTAGGGATGAGAGAGATCATGTAATTTCTATGTTTTCTGGACCAGTTGGGGTTGGGGATTCATTCGAGGGCAGAAGTGGTGGCTTTAGTGGAAGGTTTGAGGGAGTGCAAAAGAGTTTAATATATAGAAACTTATTATTAGAAGGGGGCTCAAATGTTGTAACGGGGTGGTTGATGAATATGAAGAAGTTATCTGGGTGTACAGAAATGAAACTAAAAGTTAGATGGATGTTGAGTATGACGGTGAAGATGCAATGGGTTCAGAGATCAGCTAATTCTTGGGCTGACGTAAGGGGTTATGAGAGATCATATGCTTCGGGTAAAATTGTAACTTAAACTGGGGGAGAGAGGGAGGGAGGGAGGAGGAATGCAAATCCAATCAAAGTACATCTATTGATAGGAAATAAAAGGGAGAGCCCCTTACTGAAGTGAAGGGGACAAAATATGGGTTAACAGGTTGACCAAAACAGAAAATGGATACTAGAAAAAGACCAAGGGAGAGCCCCTTACTCAGCTTTATTGCTGAGTCCAAGAGCACCCCCAACCCACCCATACAAAGGGTCTCACTATCTCTCTCCCTCCCTCTCTCTCTCAGGCACACATGTTCACAATCCCATGCCTAACAAAAAGACCAAATATTCACAGCTGACAAGCTGACCAAGCATAAAAGTTGATACTAGAAATATTGGTATGTATCTATTTCTTGATTTAAAAAAAAATCTGCTGTGATGTTATTTGTTTTTGTCTTGGTTTCTCCCCACTCTGATGTTTTTCCCCTACTTGAGGAGGTCATTTCTTTTCGCACTTGTTTTTCTCATTTTCAATAAAACCTCTGTAGATTGGTTGGTGTTCCCTCCTCCCCCAAAGGGAAACTTTGGCTTGCATATTTGACATTTTATTTATTCTATCTTCTTTTGATAATACTTGAATCTTTCTCCATAATCCCTGGAGTATAGAGAACTAATTTATAGTATTTCTTTTGATAGAACTTTAGTAGGTGATCCGATCCCCAAGGAAAATATCGGCTTATCCATATTTTCATGTGTTTATCTTCTTTCATTAGTGCTTGTATATATTTTTTTCTATAATTCCTCGAGGAAGGAGAATACAATGTTTTCTAGCTTTTTGCTGGGGTTTCTTTAATTTGTTTTTGAGGAATAAGACATAAATGTCGGTTGTTTACTTTTGTGCAGTCATTGAGGAAGGAGAAAATTTTGCGCATTTTCAAATTAAATACAGGCCAAGATGACCATGCTATAATGTTCATTGATGATTATTTAAACCAGGTTTATTTCTTCTACTGAATCTGAATCTTTTCTCAAATGATACTTGAGAATGTAATTTGAATTGTACTGCTAGCTTTTGTAAGAATTATAGAAAAAAGGGGGATGAGACTTTATTGGCCCATTTTTTCAGGGGTGCTAGTTATTATATGTTTTCTATAGTTTCAACTTTGTAGTATTAATGAGTATGACATATTTGGTGTACCATTTCTAACATATTTTTAGAATGTAGTCTTGATTTTCCTTTTGATCATTAATTGTTAATTTAAGTTTCAACTTGTGGTTTATCTGTCTAGATTGAACTAGTGGTGAAAAGGATGGAAGCCAAAAGACAAGATATTGCAGTTTTTGAGTGGTTTAAAGAACATGTCATTCCTACCCAGCTTGATCCCAGTATAGGGCATCAGGAGCTGGTGAGTTCCTTTAAGGCAAATTGCTTCTTGCAGTTTATGTATGTTTATCACTTCTGAAATTCTGATTTTAGATCCAAAATTTTATTTCTTATGCAAGTTATATTTTCACTATTTTATCTGAATCTTTGTGATGGGCCTGCTGTTTTTTTTTGGGTACATGGTGTTGAGTCTTCTTTGTTTTGTCATATTATCTTCCACTGTTTCCCTTGAAATTGATCAACTATTCTGCCTACATATTTGGCTTTTGAATTATCTAACCTGCCACCTTAGGTGATGAAGACTGCAAGATTTTTCCCATGTCAATTATAAGTGAACAAGAAGACTTAAGGGAAATTATCAAAAAAAAAAAAAAAAGAAACAAGAAGACTTGCATGGTAACTTGAAAGCATCTTTGCATAATCGTCCCCTACTTGGATGGTTCAAATTGTTGACATATTTACTTATATTCTCATTCCATGGATACTGACATGAAATGCTACAATAATTGGCATATTCCCTAGTGAAAAGTATTGGCTCTATGTGGAATACATGAGATGGTATTGTATCATAATGAGTTGGCAATACTGTCATAGATGTGTACATATATTGTTGCTAGGGTTGGAAATTTTGACCCTAACCCATTTGACCCACCCAACCCACCCACTTGAAAACCCACCCATTGAAGAAGTGGGTCAATATGGGTTGAATGACCCAAAGGAAAAGGGATAGGGTGCATTGGGTTGAGGGTTACCCATTGGGTCATTAATTTTCCCTTAATGATCAATGGAGGAATTGGGCAGTAGTCGCAAGCTGCTCCCTTGTGAAGGTGTGTTTAGGCAGCCTTGGACTTATTTGGGTTGTACCAGGCATGACACAAAAGGTGGGCCATGCTAGCACAAACCCACGACCTGGCACGACCAATATATATAATAATATATTGATATACATATATATTACATATATACATACACACACACACGCACACACACACACACACACACATATATATATATATATATAGATAAAAAAATATATACATATATATACAATTATTTGTAATAATATATTAATATATATACATATATAAATTTTTATTTTCAATTTTATTATACTATTTTGTTCCAATTGTATTGCAATTTTTTTAATTTCATTTTATTATTTCATATATAAACATATTTATACATCAAAATTCATATAGAATAAAGTTTTAAGATTTTTTTTTTCAAATTCTTGTCTATTTTGTTAATTTATTTTAACCTTTTTAGTTTTTTTTTTCATTTTTTTTTAAATCATGCCTCTTATGGCCCGGCTTGGCAAGGGCCCACTTGGGCTCGTCCTGCAGGCCATGCCAGGCCTAACCTTTGAAGAGTTCTTGGCCATGTGGGCACAACCCACCTAGGCCCATGTGCCAGCACGACATGGCCTGCGTCATGGCCCACTTTACACCTCTATGTTTGAGTTGGGCACCACCTCTTAAAGGCTTCTTGAAACTGAATTTTGATGGCAATAGTCAAGGTAATCCAAGTCCATCAGGGACGGGAGGGGTTCTAAGGAATGAAAGTGGAATGTGACTCTCTTATACTCAGGCTCTTTAGGTGTGGGGGACTCCACTAGGGCAGAACTACTAGTGCTGCCCTCCAAGGGGTGCGGTTTGCAGTACAGATAGGAGTGAAACAGCTACTAATAGAAGGCGACTCCAAGGTGGTTGTGGGGTGGCTATAGAACTCAGAATCTGTGATATGGTGTTTTAAGAGTGAACTTAAGAAATTCAAGTGGCTGACAAGAAATCTGTGTCAGAATACAATGGGTTTGGAGATCAGTTAATGCTATGGCTGATTGTCTTGCCAAGCAAGGGGCAAATAGGGAACAATTGTATTGGACATCTTTGTAGTTTGTTTTTTGATTTTGCTTGCTTGGAGATGTAGCAGCTCATGCCTCTCTATGGGATACTTGTATCTGTTATTATCCATATTTTAATAAAATTCTTTTCACTTATAAAGAAAACCAAATGTTTTGACTAGATTGAGGACCCTCTTTTGTAGTAGTGTGCCTCTTCTTAGTTTTTCTTTTGAATTATAGTGATTTAGTAAGTTAATCATATTAGAATAGTAAGCTAAGCATCCAATCACCTAATCTCCATTTGTTCTTTTAGGAAAATATTTTTAAAAATTATGACAATTTTAATGAAATATAGGAAAAATTTCTTATAATATTCTAAAATCTTAAACTTTAAATGTATAGTTTATCAATGAAATTTGAAATATGCCTACATATTAACCTTTATCAGAGATGTTGGGAAAAATAATATATGCATAATTTTTTTGGATATCTAAGATATTGCTGATATATCAACATTTCTGTCATACTCCTTTTTTGGACTTATAGTGGAGAGATTAGTAATTCTAATAGTACTAAAAATAACATATACCTTTGTAAAATTAGTATTACCAAAATGAAGGAAGCATTAAACAAGATGAAGAAGGGAACGGCGTTAGTACCTGATGATATCATAATAGAAGTTTGGAAAGGGGATGGGAGAGGTAGGCTTGTTTTGGCTAACTAAACCATTTAACAAGATAATTAAAGCAAAGAAAGTGCCATACAAACGGAGAACACAAATTAAGGTGCCTATATTTAAAAACAAGGGAAAGTTTGAGGATGTTACCTTGGTTCAATAATTGATAACAAAGGAGAGTTTGAGGATGTTGCCCATTGAATTAGAGCAGGATAGGCAAAACGAGAGGTGTATCTGGAGTCTTGTGTGATAGGCGAACACCACTTTGGCTAAAAGGAAAATTTTATAAAACATTTGTAAGGCCAGCTATGGTTTTTTTTTTGATTGGAAACAGTAACTTCATTGATACAACTTAAGAATAACTTTCCAGAGTTAAGTACAGCTGTCAACTCCTAAATAGGTGTTAAGGCCAGCTATGTTGTATGGGGAGGAGTTTTGGGCGGCTAAGAAACAACAGGTCAAAAAAAAAAAAAAAAAAGAGGAGTGTGGCAGAATGTGAATTCTTAGAAGGATGAGTTGGTAAGAAAGTCACAAATGGTCATACAAAGGAACCTAGGAGAAGCATCAACAAGTGATAAAATGGGAGAAAGTAGATTGAGATGGTTTCATTACATGCATAGATGACCATCTACAACACCTGTTAGAAAAAGTGATATGTTAAAAGTTGAAGGGGCTAGAAGAGCTAGGGGCTGACTGAAAAGGACTTAGGGTGGAACTGTGGATATGGCACTGGACAGAACACACATGTAGCCAACTCCATATGATGATGATGAAGAATTTGGGGAAATTTCCCCAAATCTTGTCAATATTGTGAGCCATGGTTTTGCATGTGCACTCAAAGCTCTTATTGTCTCAAAATTTATGCTACTTTATTATTTCATCATTCATTTTGAAAAGTATTGAAGCTGAACTCCTAGAATTTAGGTGCCATGAATATTGGACTAGTTCACCTAATGGTTTAATTGAGCCTTCTCGTTTTTATTTTGACTGTTATTTTTATGAAATTAAACTGCATATATTTTATCTATCTATATGGTAAATTTTATGCTATTGAATACTAACATATGAAAGCTAATAGGTGATGTTTAGCTTTCAGGAATTAAATTTTTTGTCATACATCTATCCCATGCTTTAACCATTTATTCATCATTGTCTTTTTCTTTTACAGTTTTGGTACTCTTTGCTGCATTGCAGTGTTCACTCCTGTCATTTGGGGGAAGTTTGAAGGATGAGCATATTTCTCTCTTAATTAATGCTGGTCTTCTTGTAAGTGAATAATGGTGTTATTTTCCTTTGGAAGACTAAGGTTTTTCTTTTTCTGTTTAAATTGTTTACTCGCTGTTGGCCTTTTTTGTATCTTTAAAAAAGTAATACTAGTAAATAATGCCTCCTTGAATCCACTTATTGAAAAGAAAGTCAGACCCGGAAATAAGGCCTCACATTGCTGGCTTCCCCTTTCTAGTAAAGTGGTCTGTCCTTCATGGTTCAAATCCACCTTGTAAAGGAAGATAAAACACAAAATAGAAAATGGAAAGTGCTTTAGGTGGTATCTTCTTTTTTGAAACTTATCATTTAAATTTAGAAAAGAACCATGTTCCTTTCCTTAAAATTCATTTGGTTCCATTTCAAATGCTTGCTTAGTCTTTCAGAAAAAACCATATTTTGTTTTTTTTTTTTTCCTGCAATGATCTCATTCTCTTCTGTTGCTGACACCCCAGATCAATCGACAACTGCTTATCTTCTCTCTTTTTCTTCCTTTTAACTATGGGTTATATGTTCAATATATATATTTTTTTTGATGAATAACAGGAATCATTTCATTAATATATGAGATTAAAATACAAGGGGGGGGGGATAAAATATCTTAGCTCCCCAAGGGATCAGAATAAACAATCAAGGAGAGAAAAACCAGTTACAAATGAGTTCAGAAAATAGAATCCCTATGCATCATCCCTTGCCTAGCTAAACCATCGGTGGAGGAGTTGGCACTTCTCTTTACCCAAATACATTTTACATCAATGTCCTTAGTCAACCACTTAAACATCCTCTTCTCATTATTGTTGTTCCAGAACCCAAAAGGCATCTTATAGCTAATTACCGAATAACTAGGAAATTACTAGTTACGAGGCCAATCATCCAAGGGTGTTCTCCTATCCTTGGTGGAATGTATTTATAAAATACAGCATCAGAAAAAATAAAATTGCCCATGTGGTCGGCTCACTCTGGAAAGTCCATGACTCCATGATCAATATCTGCAACAAGAATTCAGGAGGTAGCCCTATCTGATCTACTATCTGTTTCATCTGCTGTTTTTTTTTTTTTATTTTTTTGATCAATATCTATTTTATCTGCTGCTTAAGAGATTCATGCGCCAAGAGAGGCAAATCCATTGATCTCATGTGGAATTGCATGAAGCTTTAAACAGGTTCCCTGTGGCATGATGCATGACACATATGTCATAGACTTCATAGCTACCATGTAGTCTGACTCTGACTGAGATTTGCTGAACTTGACCTATTTATTCCGTAACCACTTCAGTCACTCCCAACACATCTAATTTGATCTCACGAGGGAATTTGTACATCCTTGCAAAGTAAATCCTTTCATAAAGCATCTAATTCATACACATAAACCTTATTCTGTAATATTAGCCCTGAGTGTGTCTAAAGGCTTGTTGCATGATCTCCAATCACTAGACCTAAAGCAATTTTCTCCTATCTTTCATCTATTGCTGCATTAGTATTCAATTTCAATCACCATCTAGAACTAGAAAGTGGCTACCAGTGGAGTGAAGACATTTGAGTCATAACATTTTGAAATTTTTTTTGATGAATCATGAAGAATTTTATTAAGATAAAGTTTAAAGTATAAAGTACACTGACAAGTGGATACATGTAGAGAAGATGGGCCGAATGGCCTATAGGCTGTTTATCCTTCTTTATTTTTTGTTATTTGTTGTAATGGGCCTTAATCTAGGCTTTGTTCTTTCTTGCGTTATGTTTTTTAATTTTTTGCCCAACCTTGTATATTATTAAAGTTTAACTTAATGAAATGGAATCAGGGGTGTAAGAGAAAAGGTTATGTTCGAAAATCTCTCTCTGAACCCTAGTTGTCACCACCTGATTTTTGCTACTTTCTTTTGATTTTTTGCAACTTTTTAAACAGTCCTTTCTTTTCGAAAGGCTGTTTTTCTTCTTGGTATCAGAGCAGGCTCGTTTTCCCCTCTTTTCACCTCTTTTTTTTCCCATACACAATGTGTATGGAGAATTGGATTGTATGAATAGTTAAAGAAACCTATTTCAGTCTAGTTGTTAGTGGTTTCTGGAGAGAAGGGGACTGGTTTTGTCGTCTTCCTGACAGATTCAAGTGTGTTGCCCGAAACCCTAATTTTTTGGAGAAATTTGATTGCGGGCTCTATAGGGAGTTTGACCTGGGCGCTCAGTGACTGAAGGCCTTCTCATCCTTCATCTTGAAGATCGAATAAAGTGGATTGGTGTTCTGTGAAGTCTACAAGGAGAGACTGAGATTTCTCTATTTCTCCCGGCTTTCGGGTGTGACGCAGGTAGCTGGTACGGCTGCATAGAGGTTGGTTCACAACACGTTTTTTTGTTGTCTTCATTTATTGTTATTTGAAGTTGTTAGAAGTTATTTTTGTAGTATTTAAGGAGATGAACCCTTCAGAAGTTGAAAACAAGCATGTTGCTGAATTTGGACAGGTTCCGGGAGCCTATGTAGACTCTGTACTGGCTGTGACCATAGTCAAGCTGGATGRAACTAATTATCTGGCTTGGTCACAATTAGTAAAAGTTCATATCTATTTAGAGGCTAATGGGGTTTTATCTCCAGGAGCAAGAAGGCTCCTTCGGAAGATGATCCATCATATGAAAATTGGATGCAAGAAAATTATACTATTATTGGATGGCTTTTGAACTCAATGCAATCACAGATTAGTCAACACTATTTGTGGATGAATTCAGCGAAGGAAATTTGGGATAGTGTTGCTGAAACCTATTCCCAAAAATTAAATGTGGCCAGGGTTTACAAGCTGAGAAGTGATGTGAAGAATTTGAGATAGGGGGAGAAACCATTTGCTATATATTTCTCAACACTGAAGTCTTTATGGCAAGAAATAGATTTGATAGAAGCTGTAGCCTAGGACACCACTAATGATGTTGAGACCTACAGGAAACTTGTTGAGAGAAACATGGTGTTTGAGTTTTTGACAGAGCTGAATCCAGAGTGACATCACAAAGCAAAATATTTTATTCAAGGATAGTGTTTCACTGTCTCAAGCCTATGCCTTGGTATGTAGTGAAGAAAGCAGAAGACTTGTCCAGGTCCAAGGGGCTGGTACTAAATGATCACTTTGCTAATATGGGAGTGAAACCCAAGGGAGTTGCAGGGGCTCCAAGTAGCTCAGGGAAGAAAGAGATTATTTGTGAGTACTGTAAAAAGCCAAAAGACACTAAAAACAAGTGTTGGAAATTGCATCATGAGCTTCTTCCTCTTCGGTTTGAAAAGAAGTCTGATATTATGAAGGCAAGGAGTGTCAATATTGCTGCTGGTCCAGATAGTGACAGATACCAAACTGAAGAGATGACGGCTAGTGAGTAATTAATAGCTATGAAGGTAGAATATGAGAAGTTTGGGAGGATGATCAGTCACCTAGAGGGTGTGGCCTCTTCTTCCAATCCTCCAAGAAATTCAACATCTTCTGCATTTGCTCATTCAGGTATACGGGCTTCTGCCAATCGTGCAACTATTTCAGTTAGTCGTAGGATCCCTTGGATTATTGATTTTGGTGCTTCTGATCATTTGACCAGCCTTTCCGCTTTGTTTCTTATGATTTACTTCCTGGCCGTGACAAAATCACCCTAGCCGATGGCTCTCTTCTATCTCTGGCAAGGGAACCATCAAGGCTACAAATTCCTTGGTACTTCCTTCTGCTCTTCATGTACCCAAGCTAAATACAAACTTGTTATCTGTAAGTAGCCTAACTAAGTCATTGAACTGCTGTGTAACTGTCTTTCCTTTGTACTGTGTTTTTCAGGATCTGGAGTCTCAGAAAGTGATTGGGAGTGGCCATGAGGCGAATGTAATATATCTGCTGGACACTCCTGGATAGTGCCATGAACAACTTGGAAAAGCTGCTTTTGGGTCTACATCTACAGAGTCCATCAGTCGAGTGATGTTATGTCATTTTCGTTTGGGTCATCTTTCTTTTTCTGCATTAAGTCATTTATTCCCAGAACTGTTTAAGGGAATTAGTTTTTCCAGTCTTCATTGTGAGTCGTGTGAATTGTCAAAACATTGTAGAAACAATTATCCTCAAAGTAATAAAAGATCTTCTCATTTTCATATTGTGCACTCTGATGTGTGGGGGCCTTACCATTTACCTACTATGGGTGGCTACAAATATTTTATCTTGTTCATTGATGACTTTTCTCGGTTCACTTGGATATTTTTGATGAAGTCTCGTGATGAAGTTTCCAGACTTGTGAGGCAATTCCATGAATTTGTCATAGCCCAATTTGCTACCAGAATTAAAATTTTCAGATTTGACAATGCAAAAGAATATTTTGAGAAAAACCTGACTTGCTATCTCACTGATTTGGGGGTTGTTCGCCAAAGCTCCTGTGTTAGGACCCCAAAATAGAATGGAGTTGCTGAAAGAAAAAATAGGCATATTGTTGAAGTTTCAAGAATATTCTATTTGCCTCACATGTCCCTACAAAATTTTGGGGTGATGCTGTTCTCACTGCAACCTATCTTATCAACCGTATGCCATCCAGGGTTTTGGGGTTTAAGTCTCCCTTCAGTCTTCTTCATCCGGACAAAGATCTTTTTCCTATTCCTTTTCGTGTCTTTGGTTGCACTTGTTATGTACATATCCCAAGCGTCCAGAGACATGAATTTGAACCAAAAGCCCACAAGTGTATCTTCCTTGGTTATTCCCCCACACAAAAGGGTTACTGTTGTTTTGATCTGAAGATTGGCATTCGGTATGTCTCAATGGATGTCACCTTTGATGAGATCTCTTCCTTTTATGATTCTTCTCAGGAGAGGCATTGTCCAAAGGGGGAGAATTTGTCACAGTTGTTTGCTCTTCCCCTTCCTGTCCCAATTGAGTCTTTTGTTGAGAATCTTCCTCCTTCAAATGAGTCAAGGGAGAATCAACCATTTCATTTTCATTCCAGTGTTCCTATCCCTCCTCCTTTACCTCCTCGTCCTCTTTTTAATCCCAGGTTGTACCAACGACAGAGAAC